CTTTGGATCTGTAGTGTATCACTATGGCCTTAATTTGTATTCTTTAGATTACAAATGAAGTGAAGCAACCTTAATATGTTTAATTGGCCATTTGTATATCCTTTTTGATTATGCCTTTTTGTATCTCTTGCCTATTTCTTGAGTTCATTATTACTTTTTCTTGTTGCTTCGTGGGAATTCTTTGTATGTGTACAGGGTACAACTTCTTTTTTTAATTTTTTTAATTTAAATTTATTGAGTTTAGAGAGAGGGGAAGGGAGGGACAGAGAGAGGGAGAGAAACATCAATGTCTAGTGCATCCCCTGCAGGGAACTGGCCTGCAACACCGGCATGTGCCCTGACTGGGAATCAAACCTCGATCCTCTGGTTTGCAGGCCTGTGCTCAATCCACTGAGCTACACCAGCCAGAGCTCTTTCTTTTCTTTATTTTGGATAATAATTTTTAAAAATTATCTTAAAAAAAAAAGAAAATTATCTTTGACATACAATATTATATAAGTTTTAGGTGTACCACACAGTGATTAGACATTATGGGAACAAGTTCTTGGTTTTTTTTTTAAGGTTTAATTTATTTATTTTTAGAGACAGGGGAAGGGAGAGAGAAAGAAAGGGAGAGAAACATTGATGCGTGGTTGCCTTTTGCATGCCCCCAACTGGATACCCGGCCCACAACCGAGGCATGTGCCCTGACTGTGAATCAAACTGGTGACCCTTTGGTTCACAGGTTGGCTGGCACTCAATCCACCAAGTCACTGGTGAGCTAGGGCTGTACAAGTTCTTTAATGGTTGTATGTATTATAAATATCTTATGTTCCAGTCCTTAAATATTATATTTTGATGAAAAGCAGTTCTTAATGTAGTCCAATATGGCAGTCTTTTCATTTGTTTTGTACTTTTTTTGGTTTGAGATAGAAGGGTTTGCCTGTCCTAAGCTTATTAAGACAATTTGCTACAACATTACTGGAAACTTTGGAATTGATCTGTGTGTATGTTGCTTGGGTATATAGAAATCCAAGCGCCTTTTTTTGAAAGGAAGGTTCTTATCGCTTTGCAGTACCGCCTTAGTTGTCAATCAGATGTCTACATATGGTAGGTATGATTCAGGACTTTGTCTGTTCTTATGCCAATACCATGCTGTCTTAGCATAACATTATAATAAATTAGACATCTGGTAGGATAAGTCCTCCCACCTTGCTCTTTAAGAATATTTCCGTTATTCTTGATATTTTCATTTCTTTGTAAATTTCGAAATCAGCTTGTAAAATTCTGCATCAAAACAAACAGTCTTGTAAGGATTTTGATTTTGATTTCATTAACTTTGTAGATCAGAGAGGGTTTGGGGATTGACATTTTATAATTTTGAGTCTTCAATCCATTAACATGGTATATCCTTATTATTTTAATACTATTTTATAGTTTTTAAAAAAGATTTTACTTATTTATTTTTAGAGAGGGAAAAGGAGAGTGAAAGACAGAAACATCAATGTGTCGTTGCCTCTCGAATGCGCCCCCTACTGGGAACCTGACCCTTAACCCAGGCATGTGCCCTGACTGGGAATCGAACTGGTGACCCTTTGGTTCACAGGCCAGCATTCAGTCTACTGAACCACACCAGGCAGGGCTGTTTTATAGTTTTTTGAGTAGAGGTTTTGTACATCTTTTTGTTATTCCCAGATATATAATGTTTAATGTTATTGTAAATAATATATTTTAACATTTTTATTATATTACAGTATATAACTGATATTCCAGAAGTACAATGGATTTTAATCTAGTAGTCTTATATCTAACAATCTTGCTAATAAGCTCATGTAACAATTTTAATAATTTTGTGTAGATTATTTAGGATTTAAAAACATTTTTATTTATTTATCTTTAGAAGGGAAGGGAAGGAGAGAAGGAGAGAAATATCAATGTATGGTTGCTTCTGGTGCATCCCCTGCTGGGAACTGGCCCCTGTTGGGAACTGGCCTGCAACCCAGGCATCTGCCCTGACAGGGAATCGAACCGCGATCTTTTGGTTCGCAGGCCCGTGCTCAATCCACTGAGCTACACCAGCCAGGGCGGATTTTTTTTTTTTTTTACAAGCAATTATATGAGCCAATAATGGCTTTGTCTTATATTACTATAATGATACCAGCTATCTTTTGATTAAAATTTTCTTGGTGTGCCTAATTCTGCCTTTTATTTTCATCTTTTTGATAGCCTTTTGTTTTAGATAATGAGCCATGTGAACATGTTGTTTTTCTAAAAAATCTCAATCTGACAGTTTTTATTTTTTAATTGAAGTATTTACTTTATTACATTTAATGTAGCTCTTGCTATATGTGAGTTTAAACATACCCTTGTATTAAATGCTTTCTGTTTGTCTTACCTGCTCAGTGTTCTTTTTTCCCTCTTGTTTCTTGCTATCCTTTGGAGATTCTATTTTAAATTCTCTCTTTAATCCCGCTTCATTAGCTTGGGAGTTATGCATCCTTTTGCACTTCTTTTACTGGTTAACCTAGATATTATCGCATGAATTCTTGACTTATCAAAATCAAATGTTGTATGGTATTTTTACCATTTTGGACAATGCAAGTACTTCAACTCCATTTATCAACCTTCCAGACTTACATGATTTTATATATATATATATATATATATATATATATATATATATATATATATATATATATATATACACATTTGTCTGTTAGTGGACACTTAGTTTGCTTCCATATCTTGGCTATTGTAAATAACGCTGCAGTGGACATAGGAGTGCATATATCTTTTCAAATTTCTTCGGATCAATACCCAGAAGTAGAATTGCTAAGTCATAGAGTAATTCTCTTTTTAATTTTTTTTGGAACTTTCATACTGTTTGCCATAGGGGCAACACCGGTTTGTGATCCTACCAACAGAGCATAAGGTTTCCCTTTTCCCTACATCCTCACCAACACTTGTTTGTTGATTTATTGATGATAACCATTCTGACAGGTGTGAGGTAATACCTCATTGTGTTTTAATTTGCATTTCTCTGATGACTGATTGGTGATGTTGAACATTTTTTCATATGTCTGTTGGTTTGGAGAAGTGTCCAGTCAAGTCCTCTAACGTTTTTTAATTGGATTTTTAAAAAAGATTTTATTTATTTCTTTTTAGACAGTGGGGAAGGGAGAGAGAAAGAGAGGGACAGAAACATCAATATGTGGTTGCCTCTTGCACACCCCCCACTGGGATGGAACCAGCAGCCCTTTGGTTTGGCGCTCAGTCCACTGAATCACACCAGCCAGGGTAGATTGTTTGTTTTTTTGGGATTTTAGTAGTATGAGTTCTTTATAAATTTTGGATATTAATCCCTTATTCAATGTATCATTGTCAAGTATCCTCTTTTAGTCAGTAGGTTGTCTTTTGTTTTATTGATGGTTTCCTTCGCTGTAGGAAAACCTTAGTTCAGGAATTGAGATGATTCAAACTGAGCAGCAGTCCCTTCCAAAGGCTATGCATTTTTATTTCATTCTTACTCATACTGTTGAATCCTTTTGGACTCAAATGGAGTTTGTTAGGTTGTGCCCGCTCCCTCTCCTATACCTTCAGCCTTACACGGTAGTTATTGCTCCCTTGGCTTCACTGGGCTGTCAGGAGCACTACTTACTTTGCTTGTCATCCATCCATCTCCTCACTTCCCGCAGGTGGCAGAACTTCAAGAAGCAGCAGCCCCAAACTCAAGGTGAATCTTTCTGGGTCTGTGACCATCTGTGCATGATTCTCATTCTTCAATTTTTCATTAATCTTTTTGTTTTCTTATACCTTTAAATGCATACACATACACTTTTTTCTTTTTTTTTAATCTGCACCCAAAGATTTTTTTAAAAATTGATTTTATATAGAGAGGAAGCAGGGGAGACAGACAGACAGAGAGAGAGAGAGAGAAGGGCATTAGTGTGAGATAGAAACATCGATCGGTCACCTCCGGTAAGTGTCCAGGCTGGGGATCAAACCTGCAACCTTTTGGTGTATAGGACGACACTCCAACCAACTGAGCCACCCAGCCAGGGCACACATTTTTTTTTTTTTGACATCCATATACTTTTCTGGTTTCCTCTGCAAGAAAATTGGTCTGTGTTGTCTAGTCTGCCCTTACTAGGAATACGAGTCTTGCCATTGTCTTTTGCTGGACCTTTGCAAGTATACTTAGATTTGGGCTTTCCATATTAACCATTATATTGATGCTGGATTGGTATTTCAAAATGACTTTCCCAAGGTTATATACACATGATAAGAGAGGTGCCAAGATTCCAGGCCTTTTGACTTTATATCTGTTGTGCCCTTCCCTGCTGAGGCGTCCTTGTCGTGCTCAGTTACCTCCTTAGGAACTTAGGATGTTGTACGACGTACTTGAGAACAGGGGATGAACAAAGGGACATGGTTCTTTTTGTCTCGGGGGGAAATTTCTCACCATAGGATTCTTGGTGTAAATTAGAGACCATCTCCCAGTATTGAAAGTGAAAGGGCCAGACTACTCATGCTTCCACCTATAGCCTAGGTGCAAGAGCTAGACCCAGTTAATTACACTTACTTGCCCCAAACTTCTAATGAGGATATGGTGACCCAAAAAACAGGTGATAGCATTGGTAGCTGCAGCACCCATTTTCCAGGGGCTGCAAGAGCAGTGGTGCTGGCAGGATTGTTGGGTGGCTAGGCTAGCAGTACTGGGAGTGCACGTCGGTGCAACCCATTTCTAACTGCGCAGGAGAGGAAAGTTACTTTTAATCCCCAAAGCTCATTTCTTGTTAGAAGTTAATGACATGAGGAAGGCATACAAAAATTCCCATTTACTTTGCAGTATTTGGGCATAACATACTGATTAAGAAAGCTCTCTCCTCTGAAGTACTATACATAGTTAAGCCTTAGAATACTTGGATCATTGAATCTCTTGAAATGTTCGTTTTTCGTGTTCTGTTTGTTGGCTAGCTGAGAGTAGAGCATCAAGGTAACAATAGCTTCTTTTGTTGCAGGAGAATGATCCATCTGTGAGACTGAAAATTGCATCATTATTGGGGTTATTGTCGAAGACAGCGGGATTTTCACCAGACTGTATTATGGATGATGCCATTAATATCCTACAGAATGAAAGTAAGTTGCAATTTAAAAGCTGTACAACTAACTAGCCCTGGCTGGTGTCGCTCAGTGGATTGAGCACGGGCCTGCAAACCAAAGGGCCTGCAAACCAAAGGATCGACATTCGATTCCCAGTCAGGGCACATGCCTGGGTTGCAGGCCAGTTCCTAGCAGGGGACACACAAGAGGCAACCATACATTGATATTTCTCTCCCTCTCTCCTTCCCTTCCCCTCTAAAGATAAATAAATTAAATCTTTTTTAAAAATAAAAAATAAAAGCTGTACAATTAGAGCAGGAGTCTCTAGTTCCTTTTGTATAGAATTTAAATCAAAATTTTATTGTGTTGATGTTAAAAAGGAATTTGAGGATGATTCAATAAAACTATGTACATATATTGACATTAGAGTTAAAATGTAGTTTTGTCTCTTAAGAGCCATTATTTATTGATTCTACCAAGTGCCATATGCTTAAACTATTTTACATGTGATAGAAGATAAATGTTATTGTTGCTATTTTATAAGTGGGGAAACTGAAGTCCAGAGAAGTTAACTAACTTGTTAAAGGTTAAGTCGTGTAAGACAGAGGTGAGTGTTGAGTGTGCACATTAACTCAGACGCTACGGCAGGTGCTGTCCTGGTCACGTGGCTCTCACAGTTCAGTTCCTATGAAAGAGACGTCTCCCAGGTCTCACGTGTTGTTGCTTTTTCTAAACATTTGTTCCTTGTTGATGCCCACTAACATTACTTGTCAGTGTTAAAGTGAAATGGAAAACTACTTCATCTTTTTAATGGTTTTGATTTTTTTTAGTTTATTTATGTACAAGATTTCGTTACAGAGTTAGTTCCTCAGTTACCTTAATGCTTATTTTTAAATTAAATTAAAAATCCTTTATTGCTGTTTCTGCAAATATTTTGATTTGTTTGAATTAGTTGTGGTTTCAGAGAATCGTTTTATTTCATTTGGGGTATACATATGTAAACAAATGTGACTTTAAATATTGGACAACATTTACACTATAAACTTAAGTTATGAGAGAAATAAAGGGCAAGTGAACTCAGACAATCTAAATTTATTTATTGTACAACCGTTTACTGTTAACAGATATTTTACATATATGGCTCATTAGCTGAGATTAACAACTTTTTAAAAATTTTGTTGGAAACAACTTTGTATTAAAATTATACTTGCATTGAATTTCTTTGTTTAAAACCTTTATTGTATTTTTTTACATTACCTTTTAGTCCCCTTCTACCTCCCCCTCCAGCAGTCACCACACTGTCGTCCAAGTCCATGAGTCCTTCTGTTTTGCTCAGTCCCTCCACCCCTCCCCTCCCCTCCCCACTAGCTGTCATCCTGCTCTCCGTCTGTGATTCTGTCTCTGTACTGAATTTCGAGTAGACTTTTAATTCACAGGAAACAATGAAAATATTTTTACATTGTTTTCGAGAGGGGAGTTTGTGTTATTGTAATGGCAATATAAAGGAAATTTTCTTTAATGACATTAAAGAAAAAAATTTTAATTTCTACTATTTTCATAAAACAGTTTGTTTTACATATTACTTTTACTTATATATATTGTATGTGATTTTACTTACAGTGAATGTACTATTTGTGTGTTTTACTGTTTTCACTTTACATATAGCTTTTTTCATGTTTCTACATTACCTTCATAATGTGTATAATGTGGGTAATATGTGAAACACCAACAGGTACAAGAGCATATTTCTAATTTTTCACTTTTAGAGATAAGTGACCAAAAAATCTATTTCTTTTAAAATCACCAAAACAATCACATTGCCTCAGTACAGAAGTATCTTTCTTTTCCATGGGAAGTTCTTAAAGGAGCTAGCTATATGCATGCAAGAATTTCATATGTTAAGATTGGGAATTTCATAGAGCTGTAGACTTTTTGAGCTGTAAATGGCCTTACAGAAATCATCTTGTCTAAATCCTTTATTTTGAAGGTGACAGGAACTAAGTCTCAGAAAGATGAAGGGAGTTTAAGTGAGTTCATTTAGTTAAGAAGTAGCTGAACTTGCCCTGGCTGGTGTAGCTCAGTGGATTGAGCATGGGCCTGCGAACCCAAAAATCATGGTTTGACTCCCAGTCAGGGCACGTGCCTGGGTTGCAGGCCAGTTCCCAGCAAGGGGACTCATGAGAAGCAACCATACATTGATGTTTCTCTCCCTCTTTCCTTCCCTTCCCCTCTAAAGATAAATAAATAAAATCTTAAAAAAAAAAAAAAGAAGTAGCTGAACTGAATGAGAACTTAGTGTAGTGCCCTATCTCATGGACCACAGTGTAACTGAAGCACTTTACCTCCAAAATAGAACATGATGAGGGAGTTAATTTTGTTGCAAATATCTTAGCCTTTAAAAGAGACTGAAATTATGCAGTATATGTGGAAATAACTGTTTAACCTTTTGTTAAGTGTTCTGAGTCTGTTTCTCACTTAGTTGTAAGAGATTTGATCAGAGCCTTTGCTGGTTTCCAGTTACTGGCCTACCTAGAATCGAAGAAAATAGAACTGAAAGAGGCCACAGAGATCATCTAGTTCAGGCCCTTTATTTCATAGCCAAGGAAGATAAGTGAGATAAACTCCAGAGAGATAAAGTAACTACTACAGTAATTCTTTATTATTGTGGCTTAGAGTGAAGCCATAGATTTAGTTAAGGGTGGTGAATTTAGTAGAGTCTTTTGGTATTTTTTCCTGGGGCTCATTGTTAGAGATACACGAGAGGTAGAGGTGGGAGAAACCAGATAATCTGATCCAAGTGCCTTTATTTGTTGCTGCGCTTAAGAGCACCTGAGTCCAGATCTACTGCAGCCCCGAGGGGAGGAAGGAATGGGGTTTTTTAAAAGAAAAAGTGCTGGGTTTATGAGGGTATAGGGGAGGGGTTATTCTTTTGTTTTTCCATGAGGGTGCCTCAAGGTTCCAGGATGTGAGCTAGGTCTGTGAGTTAGGTAAAGGGCAGGCAAAGGCCTATGAGTTAGGTAAAGTTCCCAGGTACAGGAGGGGCAGTCTGACCACTGGCCACTGTGGCTGGCGCCAGATGTCTATTGAGTTTCTATTAAGCCTCGGGCTACCAAAGCAAGTCGGGATAACTGAGTCAGGAGCAGTCCGATGTGTTGGAAAGCTGGCCCGGCTGGGTCCTGAGCAGTCTGGCAGGTTGGGAAACTGGCCTGACCCTTCCCCTCATCACTTCCAGCCTCTCCTTCTAGGAAGGCAGAGAAAGGCCTGGCTCCTGTGCATTTGGTGCTAAAGCAGCTGAAGAGGTCTCAGGAGAAGGAGGGAATGTCATTAGTAGTTGACTGTCTTCTAATCTCTTCATCCTGATGTCTCCTCTGTCTTCAGTGGTATCCCCCCAGTTGGATCTTTTCTGGTCCAGTTTCTGTGTAGAATAAACCTCCTGTTTTAATGGTCGCTCGGCTGTGTAGGATAGGGAGGCAGGCATCCAACTGCGTCGTTTAGAGGCCTCACATCCCTGCCTCTTCCCTGTTTGGGTCTTACGTTTTAACTCTCCAGTTCTGAATCTTCCCGGGATATTATGGCTAGAATTGATGTGCTTCGTAGGGACATTTTTCTCAGTAGTTATTTAGTATTAAATTTCTCAGTTTTACCCAAGAGGTTTTCATCTGCTTTCTTTTTTGCCCCCCAGTTACAGCTTACATTCAGTATTATTTTGTGTTAGTTTTAGGTGCACAGCGTAGTGGTTAGACAGTCATATACTTTAAAAAGTGTTCACCTGGATATTTCAATATCCACCTGGCACCCTACACAGTTATTACAATGTTATTGACTATATTTCCTGTGCTGTCGTATATCCCGTGACTGTTTTGTAACTACCAGTCTGTATTTCTTAATCCCTTCATTTTTTCAACCCAGTCCCCCAACCTGCTTCCCCTTGGCAACCATCAGTCTGTTCTTTGTATCTGTGAGTCTGTTTCTGTTTTGTTTGTTTATATTCTTTAGAGTCCACATGTAAGTAATGCCATTTTGTCTTTCTCTGACTGACTTATTTAACTTATCGTGATACCCTCTAGGTCCATTCATGTTATTGCAAATTGTCTGCTTTTTACCTTGAAAAGATTTATCAACTTTTCTCCTCTGCCTACCTTTATTCTCCTATTTTCTTTGTATTTGCAAGTTTATACCTCTTAATTTCTTTGTTCTTATGTTAATGATGTTTCAGAAAAATAATGATAAACAGATGTGTTCAATCTACTATGTTTAACTGGAAGTCTTACTAAGAGATGATTTAATTAGTGTTTTCTAAGCTTTAGTCATTTGTATATCAGGCATACCACTTTTCACGCATTTGCTTCACATCTGTACTATGGTTTACTTAGTGTCTTTTTTAAGTGGACAGTTTTTAAAAGTAAAGTTAAAGAGGCTCTTTATGTTAAAAGGAAATTAGTGACATGTGACATCAATAGATAGTAATGGCAGTTTTTTACTATGTACATTAAAATGTATACATGGTTATTAATATAAAAATGATGATCTGAATGCCACCTAAAATCCTTTTGTATATCACTAGCATTTAAGAGCTATATTCTGGCCCTGGCTGGTGTAGCTCAGTGGATTGAGCACAGGCCTGCAAACCAGAGTATTGTGGTTCAGTTCCCAGTCAGGGCACATGCCTGGGTTGCAGTCCAGTTCCCAGCAGGGGACGCACGAGAGGCAACTATACATTGATATTTCTCTCCCTATCTCCTTCCCTTCCCCTCTAAAGATAAATAAATAAAATCTTTAAAAAAAAAAGAACTAAATTCTGGAACAAAGAAGAGAATCTGGCTAAGATGATTGATGTTGATTTATTTGGATTTGGCTTTTTGCTCATTTATTAAACATTTAATGGGCATATAATGAGTCATGCTAGATTCTGAGAATACAGAGGTGAATAAAATACAGTCTTTTCTCTCAAGGTTCTTTCAGTTCCCTGGTTAATTGGATATGAAAATAAGTAAGTTTAGTAAAGTGTTAAGAACAAATGTAGAGGGTGTAGTGGAAACACTGAGAAGGACACGGTCCATTCTTGGGAAAGAGGAAAAGCTTCACACGGGAGGTGACATTTCAAGGTTTAGCAGGTGCTCCCTGAGGTGTGGGGTTGAGAATGGAGTTGGGTGTGGGTGAAGTCATTCTAGGTGGAGAAGTTGTCCTGAGCAAAGATAGTGGTACATGAAATCTAAGTAATCGGAAAAAGGGTGCTAGAGGAGGCTTGAAAGAGATGAGGCTAGAAAGGTAGGCAGGGCTGCACATTGTAGAGGGGCTAGTATGTATATGTGTATGTGTGTATATGCGTGCGTGCCCTGCTAGGGAATTTGCACTTTATCCTCAAGGCACTGAAAAGCCCTGAATTAATCAGGCACTAAACGTTTTTGGAGCAATATGGCCCACCCGTGGAGGACTCATGTTTTTAGATATAATCCGTTTAGGAACTTAGCTTTCAGTTTAGGGGAAACAGGTATCAAGCAGCTGACAAAAAACTACACTCTTTACCCAAGTAAACTTAGTTTCTTTAGTGATCTCCTTTCAAAATTCTGTAACACAACTTTCCATCTTCTTTTCTAGAGTCTCATCAAGTCCTCGCTCAACTGTTGGATACTTTGCTTGCAATTGGCACCAAACTCCCAGAGAATCAAGCTATCCAGATGCGATTAGTTGATGTAGCCTGCAAGGTAAGAGTAAAATGGTTAGAAACAGGGTTGATTTTTTCTTGAACGGTTTTGGCATGAGCTGCAAGAACTGCTTAGATCTACAGTGTCAGTTTGTAACCGGTAATTGCCAAGGATTTTTTAATGGTTTTAAGAGCTATTTCATTTTGTTGTTTCTTGATGTTGGATTAGAAATAAAGTTGAGTAATTTCTAATAAAATTAACTTTCTCATTTTCCCAAAAGAAATGGAAAGAATATAGTAGCTACTGTGACTACTGTGCCAAATACAACCACTCTGCTTATTATGGTACCTCATATTTAGTTTTTCATTTGTTCCTCATAGTCCTTTAGTTAAGTATTTTTATCCCTGTTTATAAAGGTGGGAATTAAGGTTTAGGGAGTTTAACTTGTCCAAGTTTTCATAGCTAGGAACTTGCAGAACTAGTGTATAAACTCTGTTTTTTCTGATTCCAAAGCTCATGCTCTTTTTGTTATGCTTTGTTGACTCAATAAACAGATCAACTAGACCCAAACAAGTGTTTGGGAAAGGTTTTTTTAAGTTTCTTTTTTCAGATTATAAAAGAAGTAGACACACATTAGTTGTGTCTTTTGATTTAATTTGAAGCTTTTAATTAGCTGCCTTTTGTATATAACAATAGCTATTAAAGCTTGTAGAATTGGCTTTACTTTTAATCTTTGTGATAAATTGATTTTGACGTTATAGGAAGACAGGTATGTTTGAATTGAAAACAATATTATATTAATGGAATTAGAACACTATTTCTGCCCTGGCTGGTGTGGCTCAGTGGGTTGGGTGTTGGCTTGCAGACCAGCAGGTCGCAGGTTCTATTCTGAGTCTAGGGCATATGCCTGGGTTGTGGGCCAGGTTCCTGGTGGGGGTCTTGCAGGAGGCAGCCACATGTTGATGTTTCTCTCCCTCTCTTCCTTCCTCCTTTCCCCTCTCTAAAAATAAATGATTAAAATAAAATAATTTCTGAGCTCAAAAAAATGTTCTAGTTTCTTAATACAGAACAACAGTAAACACTTTGACAAATATAACATTAAGAGCCAAAGTAGAAAAAACGAGGGACTACTGAGAGAGTAAGTATATCTCGGTGTGAGAGAATGTATTTATGAGGTCTGTCTGGAAAAAGTCCAACCATTAATATAAAGAGAATGGTTTGTGCAACATCGATGTAACCTGGCAGCCAATGAGAGTGGACTGGAATGCGCGTGTGTGGTCAATGATGATTCCACTGTACTAGACAGTGTGGGCAGTGGACGCCATTGAGCGAGCATGTATACTCTCTGGCCATTGCCTTCAAAATGACTAAGCAATAGAGCAATGAATCTGCATCAGATTCTGCATTAAGCTTGGGCATTCCTCCATGGAAACCATTCAGATGATTCAGAAGGCTGCATCTGTGGGCAACTGGTGATTGGTAGCTTCATCACGACAATACACCCTCATGCATCATGTCTGGTGCAGAATTTTTTGGCAAAACATCAAATCACCCAGGTGACTCAGGCCCCTTACAGCCCAGATTTGATGCCCTGTGATGTCTGGCTATTCCCCAAACTAAAATCACCTTTGAAGGGGAAGAGACTTCAGACTGTCAATGAGATTAAGGAAAATATGACAAGGCATATTGATGGCGATTGGAAGAACTGTGTGAGGTCCCAAAGTGCTGCTTTGAAGGGGACTGAGGTGTCATTGTCCTAGGACAATGTTTCTTGTATTTTCTTCAGTAAATGTCTCTGTTTTTCATATTACATGGCTAGATACCTTCTGGTCAGACTTCATATATATCTGTGAGGTTGTGCTCGTAAGAAAGGTGTTGTACTAAATAAATTGTTATTCAATGTGAATAAACTGATGACAAGTAAAGAAATTGAATTAATAATGAAAAACAGAACAAAAATCTGCCCACAAAGAAAATTCATGCCCAGATGTCTTCAAATCAAACATTTCAGTAAGAATTAATACCAGTTCTTCACAAACTTTACCAAAAAACAGAAGAGGAGGAGATATTCCCAGTTCATTCTCTGAAGTGGGTATAACCCCAATACCAAAACCACATGAAGATATTGCAAGAAAAGCAAATTGTAGACCAGTGTGTCTCATGAACATGAACATGAATGCAAAAATCCTTGACAAAATACTAGCAGATCAAACCCAGCAATATGTAAATAGGATTATACCACATGACCAAGTGAGATTTATCCCAGGGATGCAAGATTGGTTCAACGTCTGAAAATAAATTAATGTACCATAAAAATAGAATAAAGTATGAACACCACATGATTATCTCAATAGGCATAAAAAAGACATTTGATAAAATTTAACCACATTTCAGTACAAAAACACTAGAGATACTGAGAGTAGAATGGAACTTTCTCAACTCGATAAAGGGTCTCTGTGAAAAACTGACAGCATCATACTAGTAACGAAAGACTATTCTTCCCCAGCCTAAGATCAGGAATAAAACAAATATGTCCTTCTGTCTCCCTTCATTTCTTTCAGCGTTATACTAGAGCCGCTAACAGCCAGGGCAGTTGTTCAAGGAAAAGAAACAAAAGGTAGCCATATTGGGAAAGAAGAAGTAAAACTATCCCCGTTTATTCGTATAACGTGATCTTGTATATTAAAAAATCCTAAGGAATTCCCCAGAAAAATATTAGAATATGAATTGAAAATGAAAATGAAATTAAGAACAACCCATTTACAGTAGCATCAAAAATAATAAAATACTAATAAATTTAGCAAAAGAAGTATAAAACTTATACTTAATGATAACATTTTAGAGGGAACCAAAATAATTAAAACAGTCTTTTGAAAAAGAACAACAGAATTTTGGCTTTACACTTCCTGATGTCAAAACTTAGTACAAAGCACCTGTAAGTAAAACAGGGTGCTGTATAAAGATAGCTATAAAGATCAGTGGAATATAATCGAGTCCAAAAATAAACCTGTATGTCTTGTCAACTGATTTTAATACCAGTGAATGGAAAAAGAATGCATATAACATAAAATTTACCATAATAACCATTAATCACCATATTAATGTACAGTTAAGTAGCATTAAACTGTGTGCTACCATCACCGTCATCCATTCACAGAACTCTTTCCAGTTTGCAAAACTGAAACTGGGCCCATTAACTGTAACTGCCCGTTGCCCTTTTGCCCCAGTTCCTAGCAAGCACCTTTTTATATCAGGACTTTATGAATTAGACTACTCTACGTACATCATATAACTGCTGTAATATATAATATTTAATTTTTTGTGCCTGGCTAATTTTACTTAGCAGCTGCCTTACTGTTTGGGCAGCTGTAACAAAAATACTGTTATACTGTTAAAAAGTATTTATACTGTAAACACTTAAAAAAACAGGGAGGCTTAACTTAAACTTTCATTTCTCACATTTCTGGCTGACAAACCCAAGATCAAGCTGCCAGCAGATTTGGTGTCTGGTGATGGCCTTCTTTCTGGGCTATAGATGGCTCTCTTCTGTGTCCTTGCATGGGAGAAGAGGGGAGCTCTCCGGAGTCTCTTTTATAAGGGTGCTTATCTTGTTTATGATGGCCCCATCCTCATGACCTAATCACCTCCCCAAATCTCCATTTCCAAATACCATCACACTGGGGATTCGATTTAAACATAAGAATTTTCGGGAAACACATTCAGTGTATTACATGTCCTCAAAGTTTGTCCACGTTGTAATGTGTCAGATTTCCATTCTTTCTTAAGGCTGAATAATATTCCCTTATATGTATATATGACATTTTGTTTATCCATTCATCAGTTGATGGTCACTTGGGTTGCTTCCACCTTTTGGCTATCGCAGATAATGCTGCTGTGAGCAAGGTTGTACAAATATCTCTTCAAGTCCCTGCTTTCAATTCTTTTGGGTATTGTTATGGACTGAATTGCACCCCTCCAGATTTGTATGTTGAAGCTCTGACCCAATGTGATTGTATTTTCAGATGGGGCCTTTTACGACAGAGTTCAGGTTAAATGAAGCCAAAAGGCCCATTCTAATCAGATAGGTCTGGTGTCCTTACAAGAAGAGGAAGAGAGACCAGACTGTGTCTGTGTGTGCATATAGGAAAGGCCATGTAAGGACACAGCAAGAAGGTGGCTACCTGCAACCCAGTAATAGGACCCCGTGTGCTGGCACTTGTTGGACTTTTGGCCTCCATAGCTGGGAGAAAATAACTTCCTGTTCGTTAAGCCACCCAGCCTGTGGTATTTTGTTATGGCAGCCGATGCAGACCAATGCAGGTATATACCAAGAAGTAGAATTTGCTGGGTCATATGGTAATTTTATTTTTAATTATTTGAGGAACTGCCATACTGTTGCCACAGTGACTGTACCCATTTTACCTTATCACCAGCAGTGCACAAGGGTTCTAATTACTCCACATCCTAGTCAACATTTTTTCTTTTCTTTTTTGGCCCCAGCCATCCTAATGGGTATAAGTGGTATCTTGTAGTTTTGATTTGTTTTTCTATAATGATAAGTGATTCATGATGATAAGCGTGTTTTCTTTTTTTAATTTATTTTTAAAATATATTTTATTGATTATGGTATTACAGTTGTCCAATTTCCCCCCCTTTATTCCCATCTTCATTCCACCTCTTTAGTTCATGTCCATGGGTCATACATTTAAGTTATTTGGCTTCTACATTTCCTGTACTATTCTTAACCTCCCCCTGTCTATTTTCTACCTACCATCAAAGCTACTTACTCTCTGTACCTTTTCCCCCTCTCTCCTCCTCCCACTCCCCTGTTGCTAACCCTCCATGTGATCTGCATTTCTATGATTCTGCTTCCGTTCTAGTTGTTTCCTTAGTTTGTTTTGTTTTTATTTTAGGTGTGGTTGTTAATAATTGTGAGTGTGCTGTCATTTTACTGTACATGTTTTTTATCTTCTTTTTCTTAGATAAGTCCCTTTAACATTTCATATAATAAGGGCTTGGTGATGATGAACTTTTTGAATTTGACCTTATCTGAGAAGCACTTTATTTGCCCTTCCATTCTAAATGAAAGCTTTGCTGGATAGAGCAATCTTGGTTGTAGGTCAAGCGACCCTTTGGTTCACAGGCCTGCGCTTAATCCACTGAGTCATACCAGACCAGCCAGGGCTAGAGCTTCGTCCTGATATACCAAGGTTGCAGGTTTGATCTCTAGTCAGGCTACATATATGAGGCAACCAATGAATGCATAAATAAGTGGAATAACAAATTGATGTTTCTCTGTCTCTTTCTCTTCCTCTTTTTCTCTAAAATCAATAAATAAAAAAAGAGAAACAAATGGGACTACATCAAAGTAAAAATTTTTTGAACAGCAAAGGAAACCAACAAAATGAAAAGACAGCCCACTGAATGGGAGAATGTGTTCAACACCTTATCAGAATGTGACACATCTGATAAGGGGTTAATACCCATCATTTATAAAAAACTTATAAAACTCAACACCAAAGAGAGAAACAATCTAATTAAAAAGTGGGCAAAGGACCTAAATAGGCACTTCTCAACAAGGACAATAGAAAATGTCACTAATCAGAGAAATGCACATTAAAGACACAATGACATGTCACCTCACACCTGTCAGAATTGTCGTCATCAATAAATCAACAAACAAGGGTTGGTGAGAGTTGGAGAAAGGGAGGAAGGGAACCTGTGTGCACTATTGGTGGGAATACAGATTCGTGTAGCCACTGTGGAAGGCAGTATAGAATTACCTGAAAAAATTAAAAATAGGACTGCCTTATGACCCAGAGATTCCACTTCTGAGAATATATCTAAAGAAACTGAAACACTAATGCAAAAGAATATATGCACCCCTATATTCATTGCAGCATTGTTTACAATCGCCACAATTTGGACACAGCTCAAATTTCCCACAGTATGTGGATGCATTAAAATTGTGGTACATTTATACAGTGGAATACTATTTGGCTATTAAAAAGAAGGAACTCATACTCTTTGCAATAGCTCTCCAGGATTGACCTGGAGAGCATTATGTTAAGTAAAAGAAGCCAGTTGGAGAAAGACATGTACCGTATGATTTCACTAATGAACAAAATAAACTAACGACAACAACAAAAAACCCAGAAACAGACTCATAGATAGAGGACTGACTAACAGCTGTCAGAGGGGACCAGGGTTGTGGAAATAGGTGGAAAAGGTGACGGGATTAAGCAAATGAAAAAGAAACCTCATAGACATGGACAACAGTTTGGCGATTCCCGTAGGGGTGGGGACAGGTGGTAGATGAGGGTATAGGTGATAGGTGATGATAGAAGGAGACGACTTGGGATGGTGAACACACAATACAGTATACAGATGATTTATTATAGAATTATACACCTGACACCAATACATTTTATTAACCAATGTCACCCCAATAAATTCGGTAGAAAAAAACCATAATTCAAGTATCAGAGTACATCACGAGATATAATAGTAAATGTTGTTAAATTTTTTTGTGTATATATTTGTGTGTGAGTACTATGTTGCAATGTAATGGATGTTTCTTACTTTGGGCCTCAGTCTAAAAAGTTTAAAAGGCACAGTTCCACACCATGTTATGACTTACTATGCAACCTTGTTTTATTAAGGTGTTTTTGTTCTTCTTACAGCATTATATAAATAGCTTATTATAGTAGCTTTGGACTAGGTATAAGAAAGAGATAACTGCCCTAGCTGGTGTAACTCAGTGGATTGAGCGCAGGCCTGTGAAGCAAAGGGTCGCCAGTTCGATTCCCAGTCAGGGCATGTGCCTGGGTTGCCGGCCAGGTCTGCAGTAGGGGACACATGAGAGGCAACCACATATTGATGTTTCTCTCCCATTCTGTCTCCTTCCCTTCTCCTCTCTCTAAAAATAAGTAAATAAAACGAAAAAAAGAGATAACTGATAATTTGTTTAAAATATGGTGAGAAGAGCTAAAATGAAAAAAAGGGTGACAGTACTAAGTGTTGGCAAGGAGGTGGCAAAATTGGGGCATTTATGGATTAGTGATGGATGTGTAAATTAGTACCAAGCCTTTGTAAAACTATTTGGCAGTGTCTTCTTAAACTGAACATATGCATGCCCTATGACTCAGCAGTTGTATTCCTAAGTATATATCCAACAGAGATGTGAACATGTACACCAAAAGCCATATTCAAGAATAATCATAGTAGCAGTCAGAGTAGCCCCAAACTAGAAATAAGTCAAATATCTATCAACAGTAGAGAGGATTAATGGATTGTGGTATATGCGCAAATGGAATACTATACAGTAAATGGGAATGACTGAACCATATCTGTGTGGCATACTGTAATCTCCATTCTCACAAAGATAATATTAAGCAAAAGGAACCCAACTTATTTAATTTTTTTGAGGTTTTTTATTTTTAAAAAATTTTTTATTGATTATGCCATTATAGTTGTTCTATTCCCCCCTTCATTCCCCTCCACCCTACCCCCCTTTAGTTTATGACCATGTGTCTCAAGTTCTTTAGATTCTATATTTCCCATACTATTCTTGCCCCCCCATCTATTTTCTATCTACTGTCTATGCTACTTATTTTCTGTACCTTCTCCCCCCTTCTCCTCCTCCCACTCCCCTGTTGCTAACCCTCCTTGAGATCTTCATTTCTATGCTTCCACTCCTGATCTAGCTGTCTTTTTAGTTTGCTTTTGTTTTAGGTGTGGTTGTTAATAACTGTGAGTTTGCTGTCCTTTCACTGTTCATGTTTTTTTAACTTCTTTTTCTTAGGTAAGTCCCTTTAACATTTCATATAATAAGGGCTTGGTGATGATGAACTCCTTGAATTTGATCTTATCTGAGAAGCACTTTATCTGTCCTTCCATTCTAAATGCAAGTTTTGCTTGATAGAGCAATCTTGGTTGTAGGTCTTTGAATTTCATGACTTGGAATACCTCTTTCTTGCCTAAGGTCTCTTTTGAGAAATCTGCTGACAGTCTGATGGGAACTCCTTTGTAGGTGACTGTCCCCTTATCTCTTGCTGCTTCTAGGATTCTCTCCTTCATTTTAATCTTGGCTAATGTAATTATGATGTGCCCTAGTGTGTTTCTTCTTGGGTTCAAGTTCTTTGGGACTCTCTGAGCTTCCTGGATTTTCTAGAAGTCTATTTCTTTTGCCAGATTTGGGAAATTCTCCTTTATTATTTGTTCAAATAAGTTTTCCACTGGTGGCTGTTCCTTTTCCCCTTCTGGTACCCCTATAATTCGGATGTTGGAGTGTTTAAAGATGTCCTGGAGGTTCCTAAGCCTCTCCTCACTTTTTTGAATTCTTGCTTCTTGACTCTTTTCTGTTTGGCCATTATTTGCTTTCTTCTGGTCCACTCCATTGATTTGAGTCCCAGTTTCCTTTTCATCGCTATTGGTGTCCTGTGCAATCCCATTCATTTCAATTAGTTTCGCCTTCATATGTTTGTCTAATTTGTGGCTGTAATCAACCAGTTCTGTGAGGATCCTGATCACCAGTGTTTTAAACTGTGCGTCTGAGAGTTTTGCTATTTCTTCATCGGTTAGATTTATAGGCTCTGGGGCTTTGAGTTCTTCTTGAGCCATTTTGGGTCTGTTCGCACCCGTTAAGTGTGTCCGACTTATTTAATTTTATAAATACAAAAATACACAAAATAAATCTGTGCGTTAGAAGTTAATGCCCTGGCTGGTGTGGCTCAGTGGATTGAGTGCTGGCCTGTGAACCAAAGGGTTACCGGTTGGATCCCCAGTCAGGGCACGTGCCTGGGTTGCAGGCCAGGTCCCCACCTGGGGGGCCTATGAGAAACAACCAATCACACATCGATGTTTCTCTCTGTCTCTCTTCTTTTCCCTAACTCTAAAAATAAAATAAAATCTTTAAAAATAAAGATGTTAAGGCACTGGCTGTTTTTGATGGTGGTGGAGTAGTTACTGAGAAGGGACCCAAGGGGGTTTCTAGGGTGTTGGTCATGTTCTGTTTGTTTATCTGGGTGACTGTTATATGTGTGTATTTATTCTGTAAAATTTAATTAAGCAGTACACTTATGATTTTTACATAATACTTTATGGATATTAAGTTTTAAAAATTTATAAATTTTTGGTTTGTGTTTAGATTTGATAACAAATAAGTGCAATTTAGAGGCCATTTTTAAGGTATTCAGCCCTCCCTTTACAAGGCAAAATGCCAGCTGATGGGACCACAGTGATGAAAAAATAGGAGTCTTATTTTTTATTTTCTAAGGATTTGTGATTCTTTTTGGAAGACACATACTCAAGTAACATGATATTAGTCAGGCTGTGGGGAAAATGTAGTGTTCAAAGTCATTCCTAAAGCTGATAGAATGCTTTTGTTTTGGTTTTTATTTTTGAACTCATCTTAATCATGTCCTTTATTTCTGTCTTTTATAGCACCTGACAGATACTTCCCATGGTGTAAGAAACAAGTGCTTGCAATTACTTGGTAACCTTGGCTCTTTGGAGAAAAGTGTCACAAAGGATACAGAAGGCCTAGCTGTCAGAGATGTCCAGAAAATTATAGGGGATTACTTCAGTGACCAAGACCCCCGTGTCAGAACAGCAGCTATAAAAGCAATGGTAAACAGGGTCGTGGAAACTAAATGGGGACAGTTTTGTTTGTTTTTCATTTGTATATGGCTAATGCTGCCTTGCATACATCCTGAATCTCCCTGCCAGGGTATGTCTTAAGCATACTTTCCAGGAAGGCTTGGTAGCATCAAAGAGCTCAGAGGCACACATTTCTGCATAACAGATGTGATTTTCTTTGGGCTTCTTATTTATATACCTGTGATTTTGAAAAATGGGAAGGGAACCATGTTAATCTGATATAATGGGGGAAAATATACGAGATTTTGGGGATACATTGGAAGTATGGGTCTTTTTCCTCAATCACTTAAACTATATCTTTATTTCATAGTTGCAGCTCCATGAAAGAGGACTGAAGTTACACCAAACAATTTATAATCAGGTATCTTAAATGACTTATCTGCCAGGGAAGGGGAGGTTGGGAGCTGGGAGGGAGGCACACTGGTAGGCAGCGTTTGAGAACGTAGAGCTTCATCTCGCTAATAGCGTAGCATTGATTGCGGTGAATGTGAGGTTGTATTCAAAACATACATTCTAAGAAGAGAAAGGGGGATATGTAATTGAATAGCACTAGTGTTACAGGTGGACACAGGTAACCAGGTTCTTGGTGATTGGGACAAAGAATTGAACCAAACACCCAGAGTTGGGAGCAGACCAACTCCAAGCAAAGATTGACCTCATGGGCTGGAGGAATTTTATTATAGATCCCTCCTGGCTAGTTTTGGTGGGCTTTTAGTGCACATGTGCAAATAGGTGTATTACTTTAAAGCTATCACGCATATGGTCTCCCATGATTTTCCCTGATTGGCCACCAGAGAAGGGATCCCAAAGTGTTACCAAATGGACCCCTCCTTCTCCTGGGGTCTACTGTACTATGTTTGTCTTGCCTGCTGCCAGGGAATTATAGCTTTCCACGTCAGAGATTGGTGAAAAGGAAAGGAATTACTTATTCAAAAGTTATACAGACTTAAGAGTAACGACTTAATGACTTCATTAAAATCTTAAAGTCCCTTAAAACACCCACAGACCTTCCTTTCTCCCTTTGCCCAGTCTTGGGTACTGTATCTCAGGAAAAGAAATAGAAGTCTGTGGCTCAGGTAGCCCCTGGCTCTTCCCAGTAATTTGTGCTCGGCTGGCAGGCCTCCCTAGGTTCCTGGCACCATCAGCTGTGTCACTGGGATCTCCAGTTCTTAATACAAAACCACGTGGCACCTTCTCATTGCCCATTAGCAAAAGTCCTTTCACTTCTTTCCTTCCCACAGGATCTCTCCTGCATTCTTCTAAGCTGCTCAGAGAGAGCTCTGCATCACTGCTACATCTTGCTTTCCAGTTTCTTAAGCTGTGTGGCAAAGGGAGACCCAAAGCCACATGGTTGTCCCCTACTAAAGCTGTGTTGGTTCTTCTCTTCATGGCTGCTGCACCTGGGTTTAAATCCCAGCACCAGTCTTCCTCTGTAGCCCCATTTCTGACTCCTCCCACAGTTGGCTATGCTTGCCAGCATTCCTGTATTTTTCCAGCTTTTCTGGGCTGCTGTAGTAAGTCAGGGCAGGCGAGGCCCTGTGGTGTGGAGCCAGGCATCTCCAAGCTCTTATGCAGGCTCTGTAGCCAGGGAGAGTTGCCTCCCAGTTATATCCTGGGTGGAAGTCACTCCCATCCCCCTGGCTCAAAGCATGGCCACAGTTATTTAGCATATTTATGAAACCAGTTGAAGGTTATAGATATGTTAAATGAGTTAAATGATGGTTCTGGAGGTTGTCTGCAAAACAGCTCTCGATGGCCCTGCTCCATGTGTCCTAGTCCCAGTTCAGACTTATGGGGCTGAGGACATCTTATATTTTTAATATTTCCTGGACACACTGAGTTCTGGATCCCATTACAGATTGTTCTTTTGGAGGATCCCTGGCTGTACCATCTAACACTAGTATATGTGGAAAGAACTTTTAGGAGGATTTATGTATCTCATTATAAATATCAGTATAAAAGGGAAGTATGGTGTTCAGAATAAAGAAAGTGGTAGTCTTGCTGACCTTTGGTTGCTTGGGCCAAACTTGAAGTCAGTTCTGGGTACCACACTTGACAAACTGGAGGAGGATGACCAAGATCCTGGGATCATATGAAACGTTATCACATGGTTATTGTATTATTTCTTTGTAGTATTGGTAACGAAAGACACAGTGAATTCATAGTATAACTAGGAGAAGCGGATTGCCTCACCAGAAGGCCTTACAGAGTGGCATTTCTCTTGTAGAATACTTGCAGGAATCTAGAGACAGTTAGTGTAAATCCATGGTCAGAGACAAGATTTTATTAACCTGTCAAAGTGGTTTTATCTTTCAGAGGAAGATGATAACTAGCAAAGCCCCTGTGACTGTTGTGTGCACCAAGTTTATTCTTTTAGGAAATGAGGTAGAATGAGTTCAGAATGGTTGGTTGATGTGACCAGCCCCTTCTCTCCCTATTGGAAAACTGTGTGGGAAGCCAAATCATTATAAAGCTAAATTTAACCAAGTAAATTTAAAGGTCTAATTGACTTCATTGAATAATTCATGAATCAGACAACATCCCATATAGTATATAGGTAGGTGTTTGGAAGAATTTTACAAAATGGAAGGTTTTTTTGTAGGCAGAAAGAAGGTGGGGCAAGGGAATTAAAAGAGTGTATTACCTTGGGGAAGGTTACTTTGCCTTAGGGGAAGGCAGGGGGTTTTACCAGGCAGATTACCTCTACAGTGCCGCACAGGAAATTCCAGACTGATTGGTTTAAAATTCCATTCTTGGGAGAAGCTGAAACTAGCTGGGTTAGGTGTTAAGTCTTGGTGGGGGTTAGCACAAGTGATTCCAGTTTGGGCCTGGTTTTTGGTTTTTTTTTTTAAATACTAAGCAAGCAACGATAAGATCCTTCAGGGAGTAAGGATGGAATGATGGTGTATAATTTGAGATAGAAGGTAGAATTAGGTACCTAATGAATTGTTTTGTTGCGTTTGAAGGGTTGGGGAGAATTGCAACCACAAATAGGTGTGAAGGTCTGGAGTTCCGGAGAGATCAGAGCTGGAGCCATGAATATGGAGGGAGCATGAGGATACTCAAGGAGAGTAAGAAGATCAAAAGAAACTACAGATGGAGCTATGGGCAAAGTCCAATACTTAAGAGGCAGACAGGAGAAAGCAGCCCTAGAATGGCACCGAGGGGCAGCCAGATGGAGGAGGAGAAAAAATATATTCTAGAAAAGGCAGGAGGGAGGTCTCATGGTCTCATGTCAAAGGAGACAGTGTCAAGTGCTGGGGAAAGGTCAGTTAGGATAGGAGGTATTTTTGATTGTTGAAACTCCTGGGGGGAGGGAGAGCAGGTAGTGCTACAATCATCTAGTGGGTAGAGGCCAGGGATGCTGCTAAACATCTTACAATGCACAAGACAGCTCCTCACAAAAAATTATTTGGTCTAAAATGTCAGTAGTACTATGAGTGAGAAACCCTGGTGAAATGGTTAGTAGCTTAAGTGGGATGGAAGAGCAGGTATGATGGATTAAGTCATGGAAATGGAAGAGCTGGTGGAGGAGCATGTTCTGCTCAGAGGATGGAATATAGGATTTGAAAATCCCAGACATGGAGGAGTTCTGGATGTTGTTGAAGTCTAGAGTGTTGCTATGACTTGGTGGAATGGGGATATTCCATTTCAGAACAAAGGTAAACAGAAAAATCTGGCCTCTTTTGGCAACTTAGTATTAAAATTGTACGTTTATTTCAGATGGACTGTCAATTAGAAATTTGTGCTTTGATTTTACAGATAGAGAAAAAAGCTATCTCTGCTGTTTGAGCCTGCAAGAGCAGCAATGTGGGCTACCCCTGCTTAGCTGGAATTGTGCTATTCTAGATGGCTTTTGTGCTATCAGTCTGTGGCTCTGCTCGCAGACGTGGGGTATGAAGGTTCACAGAACACAGACCCAGCAGCTGACAGAAACCAAGAATTCTTTGTTGGACAAAGACTTAAGGAGTTAAAAGCATCCACAGGCATTATGATTGACATCCTTATCCAGCCACCCAATCTTCATTGTCAAAATAGTTTGAACATTACCTGGGGGGAAACAGTACTAACAGACTTTTGAAATACTTGTTTGCAGGCCTGTAAATTGCTCTCCGATGACTATGAACAAGTGCGCAGTGCCGCAGTCCAGCTTATCTGGGTTGTCAGTCAGCTCTATCCTGAAAGGTCAGTGTGGATGGGAGCCAGCTTTTCTCTGTGGCTAAGCCATTTTTTTCTCCTTCCATGCAGAAAGCTCACCTCCTGAAAAGGAATGTCGGTTGGATTTTTAGAAGGCAGTATGAATTAGGGGAAAAGCACAGACCCTGAAAATCAGGATGCCTGGTTCTTGTTATTTAGCTCTGTCATCCCTGACCTTTCTGTGTATCTTGGGAAAGATATTTCAACTCTGAGTCCCAACCTCCTCTTCTATAAATGAAGAGTAAATGAAGGGATGAGGCTGTCTTTCTCAGGTGCTTTGCAGAGTTTCCCTCACCCCCTCCCGACCCTTTTTAAATCTTTAAAATTGTTTGGGGTCCATTTCAGTAAATACAAGGGCCAGATAAAAATACCAGGTGGTTTGAGAGTAACGATCCCTTATGTAGTGTCTTCCTGGCTAAACATATTTTTGCAGTAATCAAATCATTTATTCTCACAGTGATTCTTTAAATTGGAGAGACATAGATATATTTTTTAACAGGACTATTTAGAATCTGCCTCCTCTTTTAGGACCAGATATGCAAGTATGTTTTATGCAGATTTATTGTGAGATTTACTATATTGACAACAATGCATATACAGATATAAAGATAAAAAATACTCTGGTAGCTAGTCTTCAGTATCTTCACAAATATTTGTACCTTTGATAAGTTAAACACTTCTATTCAAGATAGTGAAAATTTGCAGTGTAAGTAAAAGGGTTTGTTTATACTCCCAGAGTCGTTCGTTTACTATGAAATGTATTTCACCGTTCTAGGATTTTAATTATTTAATCATCATTTCTACTTCTGCCGTTTTCATTGGTTATTTCTGTTTTATTGAACCTGAAGCTTTAGGTGTATGCTTTGCCATTTGTGGTTTCTTTTCTTTTAATATAGCATTGTCCCAATCCCTTCTTCTAATGAAGAAATTCGCTTAGTTGATGATGCATTTGGGAAAATATGTCACATGGTCAGCGATGGCTCCTGGGTGGTTCGAGTTCAAGCTGCAAAGCTATTGGTAAGTTACACTTTCTTTTTTTAAAGATCTCTGTCGCTCCCTCTCTATTTTTAAAGCTTTGCTTATTTTTAGAGGGGAGGGGAAGGAGAAAGAGATGGAGAGAAACATGGGTCATTTGCGTCTTGCACCAGGGACGTGGCTGGCAACCCAGGTGTGTGCCCTGACCGGGAATTGAACCAGTGACATTTCCACTTGTGGGATGACGCCCAGCCCACTGAGCCACACCAGTCAGGATAAATTACACTTTGTTTAACGAACACATTACCTGTTACACTTACACACGCATTTTGAGAAACTACCGATAGGGACCGTTGTAACCCACTATCGGAAATCCTAGGTTTTTTAAGAAAAGATTTTATTTCTTTTTAGAGAAAGGGGAAGGGAGGGAGAAAAAGAGAGAGAAACATCAATGTGTGGTTGCCTTTCGAGCACCCCCTACTGGTGACTTAGCCTGCAACCCAGGCATGTGCCCTGACTGGGAATTGAACCACTGACCCTTTATTTTGCAGGCCAGTGCTCACTGAGCCAAACCAGCCAGGGTGAAATCCTAGTATTTTTAAAATAAAAAGAAATGGCTTACTTTCCAATGGAGAAGTAGTCTTTTAGGACTGGAAAGAATTTTGAAAACAATTCTGTTTATACTTGTTAGTATATGAGATAGCCAAGGCCTAGAGAAAAATGAAAATAATAACAAAAATAGTTTCTACCATTCATTAAGCACCCATTATGACCTAGGTACTTTGCTGTGATTCCATATAACCCAGCAAGGTAGATGTTGTTATTCCCATTTTTCAGGAAGGAAAACTGAGGCTCTGAGAAGGAAGTCGTTCAACTTACACAAATAGAAAATTGTAGAATGGTGTTCAGACACTAATCTCCTGACCTTTTGGCTGGTACTTGCTACTGTTTTGCCTTTGGGTACACATAGTACATTTATTAAAAAATTTTAGCTTTTCAGAGATGCAGTTGTCTTATAGAAGGAGTGTTGACCTTTGAGCTATCACTTGATCTTTGTTCGGTTTCCTTAACTGTTCAGTGGGTGTTAATAACTCTTTCATTTACCTCACTGGTTGTCATGATGTTCAGATGGGATACTGTCTATGAAAATGTTTATAAATTGTAATGTATTCTACTGTGTGGGGTAGTGGGCGTGGTTATAGTATATAAATATATATAAGTATCTTTTAAATTTTGTAAGGCCCTGGCTGGTGTGGCTCAGTGGATTGAGTCCTGGCCTGCGAACTGACGGGTCACTGGTTCGATCCTGGTCAGGGCATAGGCCGGGGTTGAGGGCCAGGTTCCCAGTTGGGAAGGGGGTATGTGAGAGACGACTTATCAATGTATCTCTTGCACATGGATGTTTCTTTCTCTCTCATTCTCCCTCCCTTCCCCTCTCTCTGAAAATAAATAAAAACAAAAATAAAATTTTTTTTGTAAATATCACGGCAAGAAAATCTGAGATTCTGTTTGAACACTTCTTTCTGAGGACCTCCAACTCGGCTGTCTTGGTAAGATTGATGGTTAAATACTTTGGGACCCGATTGTACTGGACATAGAACCAGTGATAATCCTGTTCTGTGACCAGTATTTATAGCGTAATTGCTAAAACTTGTGTGAAGTATTTTCATGGAATAATAAGGAATTTGGATGATTTCAGTAACTTCTGCTTATAAATTATACTGCTTGTTCATAATAAATTACGGAGTTAAACTGGTTGTTATTAATTTTATTTTTTAATTCATTTTTTCAATTTTAAAACTTTGTTTTGGTCTGTTAATATTTTAAAATTTAGAACAATCCATTCATTTATCAAACTTTTTATTATTTTATTTATTTTTAGAGAGAGGGGAAGGAAGGGATAAAGAGAGGGAGAGAAACATCAATGTGTGGTTGCTTCTCACACACTCCCTGCTCGGGTCCTGGCTGGGTAACCTGAATAGGCAGCTCATAAAAGTAACCCTTAAAGCTCCGTCATTCAGATTTTTCAGTTTGTACCCCACAGGATCTGAAATCCATTTATGTAAAGCTGTATGAGTATTGAATTACAGTGGTGAATTGAAAGGTTTCCACTTAGATGACTCTAACTTGAGGTAAATGCTTTATGTTATCATTTCAGTAATTTCAAATTTGAACAGTTCCAAATTACGTAGTAACTATACTTATACTTCAAAAATAATTAACATTTTAATTTTGCTAATACTAACTATTAACTTTATAGAGTTTCTAGCCTACTAAGCTACACACTTTTTGTTATACACACATACACATGCAATATACCTGCTTCCTTATACACACACACGTACTCATGTACATACTTACTTTTTGCAAATAACTTTTAATCCTTCCAGAGGTGTCCAGCCTTTACACCACACTGGAGGAAGAGCTGTCTTGGGCCACACATTAAATACACAAACACTAATGAAAAGTGGTCAGAAAAAAAAAAGATTTTAAGTAGATTCACATTTTGTGTTGGGCCACATTTATAGCCATCCTGGGCTGCATGTGGCCCATGGGCTGTCTGTGGGGCTCCCCTGTATTTAAACTCTCCGAGAAGGTATTGTATTACTCATTTTATATACAGGGTGGGGCAAAAGTGAGTTTAGAGTGCAAGAACATGAAAGAGTTCATTCTTCTTAATCCTCACCCAAGGATATATTTATTGATGGTAGAGAGAGAGGAAGGCAGGGGGAGAGAGGGAGAGAGAGAAAGAGAGGAAGGAAGGAAGAGACAAACTGATGTGAGAGAGAAACACTGATCAGCTGCCTCTCATTTATGCCCCAACTGGCAATTGAACCTGCAGCCTTTTGGTTGTACAGGATTACATTCCAACCAACTGAGCCACTTGGAGTTTATTCTTGTATTATTATTTATTAACAAATGTAGTATTAACCATATGAATAACTGTAAACCTACTTTTGTCCTCCCTGTATAATAAAACTAAGGTTTAGGAAAGTGATATAATTTGTCCACAGCCACGTAGGTAGTAAATAGCACCTCATGATCGATAGCCCATGTAGAATCCCTTCCTAGTGAGGGTACAGTTAGACATTGGGAGCTGTGGTTGTGCAGTTAAGGCCCTGCTGGTTTACCAGTTCCTCTGTGTAATCGAAGAGGCAAACTAAGCTGCTCACACTAACTCTTGAGTAGACAAAACTTGTGGTCAGGCAAACTGCATGTCGTCTTCAGCCCACGTGTGCATCAAGAAACACTAAGCCCTAGTCCGCATCTTCAAAAGAGTTGGTAGTCTGGTAGGTTGATATAGGCAGTTGGTCAATTATAATGCCTGGTACTTTAGGGAAGAGCACCTAACAGCCACAGAAGGCTTTTTGGAGGAGGCAATTTCTGAGCTGAGTTTTGAAGGCTGAATATGAATTAGCTAGGTAAAGAAGTAGGGAAGGAAAAAATATCGTCAGAGACATAGAAGAAGTATAATAGTATGCATACTAATACTACACTGTATTAGCATACTGAATCATAAACAGTTTAGTACTTCCTGGTGTGGAGGAATAATGTTCAGTGTGGGCGATGCACAGCAGGTAAAACACAAGAAGAAATAAAAAGTCAGGTTCTTTAAGAACTTAAGTTCATTGTGCACAAAACAGAAACAGTCTCCATTCTTGGCTTATAGTAGGATAAAATTTTTCAGATGTGGTCTTTATAAGAAAATTCAAAACCGTGTAAAAGGTTGATTTTTGGTTATCTGTAACTGCCCTAATAAGGCAAAGAAATGTGATTTCCAAGTACACAGCTCCATTCAGTTATTTAGAATACAGTCACTACTTTGTAAATGATTATGGTAGTTGGTGTTCTATCTAGAATATTACCCTTAGTTCAATAGCTTCTTCTTAAGATATTTCATTTCTCTTATTCAATAAGTTTTATTTCTAAGCCTCCAGAAGCATTTGACCTTAAGTTATAACATTTTCAGACAGATTGTAGGCTTTTATCTCTGTTAAGTCTTCTCAGGGCAGTGCTTTCCCAGTGCAAATGGAGATCTTAGTCAGGGGCAGTTTTACATCTCACATAGTAGTTCACCTTTTTCTTTTTTTTGGTTTGCTTTTTATCACCTAATTGAGTAGAGGCTAGGAGCATTCAAGAGTGCATAAGACTTATGTTATTACACTAATGGAGCAGTTTTTGCTCTGAAAGCAGGCTTGACATACTTGTTTTTTTCAATATTGTGGCTTTCTTAGTGTTATGATTATTGGTTGTGTAGTAGTGGTGATAGTACATTTGGAGAGAACTTACCTGAATATGTTTATCTTGATCAAAGTAGACAAGAATATAGATGTTTTTCTTTTGTGTGTATTTATTTCAATAAAACTATTTATGGATGTTGAAATTTGAATTTAGTATAATTTTCATGTTTGTGATACAAACATGTAAAAGCCATCCTTAGCTGGTGTGGGCTCTATAGCAACAGGCAGTGGGCGCGAGTTCACTGATGGGCCATTGTGGGGGAGCTCTATCCACAGGCCCTGCCCCCCAGCTGCCATAGATGAGACTAAGTCTACCAAGACATGATCTGCTTGGGGAGGAAAGGTGAACAATCTCAAAGGAGAAGGGCCAGGAGCCTTTTCCTCAGTGGGCTTTCATTGGGTGTAATTTGCACAGAAATACAGGTAAAGCTCATCAGTCACTGTCAGGCAGTAAGGATCAAACAATAGATAACATTCAGAGAACTATGAGGGCTTATTCTGAGTCAGAGTCAGTTAGCTAAAGGGTTATAAAACTTTGGGGAGCAAACTCAGTTTATGTTTGGATCCTTATCAGAAAACTGAGGGCATTCTAAACAAACCAGGTTTCACCGGATTTCATGCATTCTTTCTCAGGCCTGATTGCCCCAGGGAACCTGCCTCTTCCAGCACAGGACCGCACCCACCTCCGGCATTGCTTCTGGCTTAGGTCAGGCAGGGGAAGTAAGATAGCCAAGAGATTAGGAGACTTTTTACAGACAGAATGAGGACTCAGGCTGTGTCAAAGTTGGTTCAGCACCCACC